ATATATATATATATATATATATATATATATATATATATATACATATATATATATATATATATATATATATATATATATATATATATATATATATATATATATATATATATATATATATATATATATATATATATGTATGTATATATATATATATATATATATATATATATATATATATATATATATATATATATATATACATATATGTATGTATGTATGTATATATATACACATATATGTATGTACATATACATATATATATACTCATATATATATATGTACATATACATAAATAATAATACTTATATATGTGTATATATATATATGTATGTATGTATGTGTATATATATATGTATACATATATATATATATATATATATATATATATATATATATATATATATATATATATATATATATATATATATATATATATATATATATATATATATATATATATATATACATATATGTATATACATATACATATACATGTACATAATTATTATTATTATCATTATTATGATTATTTTTAATATTATTGTTATTTTTACCATTATTATTATTATTATTATTATCATTATCATTATTATATTATTACCATTATCATAATAATGATAATAACTATTATCATTATTATGATTATTGTTAATATTATTGTTCTTTTTATTACCATTATTATTATTATTATCATTATTATTATGATATTATCATTATCATTATTATTATGATATTATCATTATCATTATTATTTTTATTATTATTATTAGTTTTTTATTATTATTATTACTGTTTTTTAAATTATTATTATTACTGTTTTTTATTATTATTATTACTGTTTTTTTATTATCATTAACATTATCATTATTATTATCAATTATTATTAATATTATTATTATTATCATTATTTTATTATTATTATACTATCATTATTGTTATTATTATTATCATTATCATTATTATTATTACTATTATTATCATTATCATTATTATTATTACTATTATTATCATTACTATTATCATTATTATTATTATGATGGTGACACTGACACTAATAGTAGCATTAATTTTCTCCTGTCCTGTCCTACACCATAATGTCAATATTTGCATTCATCTGAATGTGTAATACACTTGTAATTTATGCATCATTAGATATTGTTATGGCAAGCTTAACTTGTTCAATCTATAGGATCAACAGAACTTTCACTTTCCACTTACAAAGCCTAGTGCTTAACCCAATGCCAACGGGTATGACGTGTATGTACGTGCTATGCCCACTGTGAGTACTTATTTGATTGTTTTTACACATAGATGGCTACACTTATACTAAGTCACCAAGTGCTGCCTGTCTCGCCTGTTTACCCTTTTCTTTGATTTACAAAATATTTTACATTATCTTATTTTGCTGTTACTAATGTTAAAAAATATCATAATAGTTATAATATTTATAAAAAAATAACACTGTCAAAATTCATAGCACTCGTAAAAAATACATTTTCCCCACCATTTCAAATCAGGTAAGTCACATTCACAAGGTCAACTAATTGACTCCTTTGTGGCTAAGCACTAGCAGAGCCATCTATGGGCAGACATTTCACAAAAAGTATAGCATTTTCCCCATTTTTTGTTCATTTTCCCCTGTGGCATTGGGTTAAACAGTGGTATAGCCTGAGTGGAGGTCAATTTTTCAGTTCCCCCCCCACCTAGCAGAAAAGAAGAAAAGAAAATATCTAAAAATTAATAAATAACTATAATAAATCATATATGTAAGTTTGAATGTAATAAAAGATTTTGCCAGGAATTCCTGATGGATGAATGTATAATATTTAGACAAAGATATATTTTCTAGTCAGTGTAGATTACAATAATACTGAAGAGAAAAGAAGTTATTCCTGGCTGACTCTGTTTAATCTTAAAATATTTTTTGTACTGGAAAAAAAAAAACTAAATAAGATCAGTCTGATTTTGATATACTTTTCTCAACCTAAGATATATGGGAGGGCCTTAAGAGACCTAATTCCTCAGCCCTATATGCCTAGCTATTTTCGTGCTCAAGCCTATCAAGGTTTCTAAAAAGATATTGTTTATACTGGATGCTTTTAATATGAATAAAAATGGTCTTTTTTTATCATATTGGTGTATATTATATAAGCTTTTAAACAGTACAGTTGGATCAATTAATTCTACACTAATTATATTTTAGGTACCTCATCCTTATCATGTTCTGTAAAAACTATGTAAACTTTTCTCATTGTTTTTACAGAGAAGTTAACAACTTTTGTGGAATGTCTTTAACACTTTGTGCTTCAAGTTACAGTTGATATTCGTAGGGCTGAAAAAATGTAAATCTGAACAGAATATCTGTGATACACATGGATACAACAGATCACTTTTTATGGATCTTCAGTTGTGAAATCATGTTATTAATAGATACTATCTGGATTACCAATATCTTTCAAAAAAACAACATGGCTACCAGTTGATGAGAAAATCATTATGGAATATAGCAAAATTTACATATCTGTACGGTGTCACAGTTCCACCAAAATCACCATTTTAAAATCCACCTCAAGTCTAAAAGCAATCCAGGAAATGCAAATGTTAAGATTTTATTTACCTTAAACCACATTCTTTTGCCACAAAAAATATTATTTGTAACTCATTTGACATATGGTTGTCTTTGTAATTTCTTTGAAATTTTGGTACATTTTCACAGCATGAGTTGAGAGCCAGACTACCACTTTTCTATCATTTCTTGCAGATACATTTTTTACACATTACAAACATTTCAAACATAGTACAAAGAAAACATTCATGTGGATAATGATCAAGTAACTTACATTAAATGAATGCATAACTTATATTACCAAGAATATCTAAAAGATCCTGGGACTGAAGAGGGTGCAAAAAGCAAGAAACTTCAGATAAATAAAATATTTTATTTTCAATCTCCGATACACCTTTTCAATGGGTTGGATTTATTTCAACATTGTCAGATGTTACAACAATTACAGTGAATATTTATAGTATGATACAATAATTATCAATTATGTTTGCAATCTACAAAAAGCAGTGTCTATACAACCAGTAACAATTTAAGCAATTCTGGCCATTTAACCTGACTTCCTTAAGCTGTCATTTCTGAAAAGATAAAAAGAAAATCATATTAATACAACTAGGATTCTTAATCCTATAATCCCAAACAGTAATGGGTAGAAAAAGTAAATAATCTAATGTTTAAACTATGCAAATGCTCAACAAACTCTAAGAAAACAAAGATTATGAACCTTTTAGTTTTATCTCAAGATTCCTGTTCAATAAAGCTTTGTCATTTGCTTAAATAAATGAATGAATTAATAACTAAATAAATTAGTTAATCAATAATGATTAACACATCATCTAGGGGGTGGAAGGGCATCAGTTCCCTCCCTATACCTATACACAGATATGCATACGTACCTATATGTATCTGTCTATCTACTTAAATAAAACAATGTATGCAATCAGCAACTGAATTATTACATATATATGCCTAAATTACTGGAAAAAAAATACAATCATGACTAATTAAATATGATAATCTCTTCACAGGTGTATAAATAAATAAATAACTACTACAAGATCAGTTATGACACAAAGACTGTCAAACAGATTAAAAAAGTTCTGCCTCAACAAAAATAACATACCTCTATACTGAGCCTTGCATTGCCTTAGAGCTTCATTGAATCCTTCACAAACCGAAACATCTGACTGTGTCTGTGCACACTGGAGGAACTGCTTAATTTCCCAGGCACAAGGGCCCTGAGGTTCTGATGGACCACTCTGGAAATAAAGATAATCATTATTTGCATGTATCTCTGAAGATGAAAAGTTGAAAAAAGTATAAGGTGGTAATAATAATAATGATAATAATAATAACAGTCTTGGAATTGCAAGAATGACTGATATCCAAGAGAAAAAAAACATCTCCATATTACCTGTACATATGGCTGCTGCTGATAGCCTTGGTATTGTGGGTATCCTTGGGGTTGTGCTGGTGCTGGTGCTGCTTGCTGTGGCTGTTCTGAACTACTGCTGCCTCCACTGGTCAAGGCATGACCTACCACATGACCCTATGGAATACATAAAAAAAATGCACCTTTCATAAATGATTTTCAAAAATGTCTACTAGTTCTTCTAGACTTTTAACATTATGATTATATATATGTATAAATATAAATAGATTAATGAATAAATAAATTTAAAAATATCTTTATTTAAGTAGTTATGATATATAATTAGAAAATACATAAACAAAAAATAAACAAAATAAATGGAGTATATAAACGACTGTATAATGGAGTTCAGACCTTGACAATAACATAGTTAATGAATAATGAATTCTCTCTATATTTCCATTTATATGACACACTGAAACATAAAGCAAAGAAAAAAAGTAGAGAAAGAAAAAAGAGAAGAAAAAAATATAACTTTTTTTTTCTTGTTCATATCTAGCACTACGTTTCTAAATTACTGTACACAATAATATATTTAGGATATCTACAACTTTACCTTTACCTATACTTATCTAATCTGTGTGTGTATGCTTTTTCATTAAAGCTGATAAGCACCTTAAGAGATCTAGACCTGCAGCAAAATTTTCCCTAAAATAATTCTACCACACATTTTAAATCCAATCCTGTTTAGTCTCACAAGAAGAAGGGTACATACCACTGCAGAGCCTACAGCAACACCACCAGCAGTTGCAGCCATCTGTGCAAATAATCCAGGCTGCTTTGGTGCTGCTGCAGCAGGTGGAGGAACAGGAGCTGGTGGGGGAGGAGCGGCTCTTGGGGGAGGTGGGGGAGGAGCTGCCCGCCTGGAAAGAAGGGCAATTCACAATCATGAAACACATCAACCTGAATCTTTAATACTATGAAAGTCACTTGTGATTGCAAAAACATCATGTGGTTAAAAAATATGCAAATTGGTCATTTCTCATCAAACACTTCATATCTGAG